TACAGTGCCCTTAGATCCCTCACGCTAGCTTTGTTTGCTGGAGGCTGAATTATCGGTAGAAAATCTTCATTTTTCCTGTCCCCTGCAATGACTAGTTAGCAGGAGCCATGAGGAATCCTCTTCTCAATTTTATAACTTTTTTATACATAGCTGTTACATGTAGGGCAATCTGTCTTTAAGTAGTGGTAAATTACTCTTAAAGAAAAAAAGGAATCCTAAATAGTTTTTCCCTTCAATTTAAGCGTCTTGTTTAAATAAACTTCTTGTTAAAAATAAATAAAATACAATAACAATAATAATGATAATGATAAATAAAATTAAATAAACAATTTTTTAAAAAGAGTAGGTAGGAGACCAGTAGGTGGTGTAATGGTTACATCACTCGACTCTCCTATACCTGACCAAGGTTTAAGTCCTACACCCAGAGGCTAGAAACCCAGAGGCTTGAAATGCCAGGCTCCTGTGCGTGCATGCCCAAATTCCTATGAGGAGAATGGAGAAGAAGGGATTATGACTTGGTCATCCACCCTGGGGAGTGATTTCTCACTTTCCATCTCTTTCTGTCTCTCCGGATAGTATATGTGCCCTATAGGGGAAAAAAAAATCTCTCTTTAAATAAAAGGAGGAGGCTGGCAGGTTGTGTGGTGGTTAAGGGCGCTGGACTCCTACATGACCAACTATGGTTCAAGTCCCAGACCTGGAGGCTTGATTTATTTTTCCCCTCTCTCACTCACTTTCTTGGTCCATCTCTGGTAAAACTGAAAGAAAGAAAAGAAAGAAAGAAGGAAAGAAATGATAATTTTTTTGGAGAGGTTTTTGCTATAGGGTACGTGTGCTTGCCAGAAAGACAGAGAGACAGAAAGCAAGAAATCACCCTCCAGGAGGGATGACCACATCACAGTCCCTTCTCTGTTCTCCTCTCCAGATCTTGGGCATGCACGCACATGTGCCTGGCGTGAGTTTAAGCTACCAGGTCCAGGACTTGAACCACAGTCGACTACATGGGAGTCCAGCAACATAGTCATTACACCAATTGCTGGTCCCATAAAATAATTGTTTTTAAAAAGTATTTATTTATTTATTTAATTCCATTTGTTGTTATTATTTCTTTAATTTGACCAGAGAGAGAGAGAGAGAGAAAGCAAGAAAGCAAGTCGCCAGGTCCCAGATTCAAACCACAGTTGGCCATGTGGGATCCAGCACCTTTAACCACCATACCACTTGCTGGCCTTAAAATTTTTATTTTTGGGGGGGAGAGGTTTTTACTATAGGGCACATGTACTTGCCAGAAAGACAGAGAGAGACAGACAGAAAGTGAGAAATCATCCCCCAAGGGGGATGGCCACACCACAATCCCTTTTCCTCCATTCTCTTCTTGGGATCTTGGGCACGTATGCACACGCGCCCAGCGTGAGTTTAAGCCTCTGGGTCTGAGACTTGAACCGTGGTTGACTACATGGGAGTCCAGCAACATAGCCATTATGCCAACTGCTGGTCTCCTTAAAATAATTCTTTAGGCCATCCCCTCTGGGGGGTGATTTCTCGCTTTCTATCTCTGTCTCTCTTTGTCTGTCTGGCGAGCCCACGTGCCCTATAGCAAAAACCACTCCAAAAAAAAAGGAAAACAAAAATTCTTTAAAAAAAAAGTTTTGAATTAAAGTACAACTGTATTTTGGTGAAAAATTTTTTGAAATCCATATATTGTTTTTTTTCTTTAAAGAATTATTTATTTCATTTTATTGATTATTGTCTATTAATTTGACCAGAGAGAGACAGAAAGTGAAAAAGTCAGCTGCCATATATGCCTTTGTAATGATCTATATTCTAATAAAGCTAGTAGCCCGTTAGTAATTCCTTTTTTGGCCAGCCCATGCTGTGGTGTTAAGGCAACTGGATTCCACATAGCTAACTGCACTAGAAAGGCTAAAAAAGAAAATTGGAGCCAGCTGGTGGCATGGTGGTTAAGCCAACTGTGCAGTTCAAGTCTAGACTCAAAGGCTTGAAAAACACACTGGGCACATGTGCATGCATGCATGTCTCAAAATCCCAACAGGAGAATGGAAAAGGGATTGTGGCATGGCCACATTCGGGGGGGGGGGGGGGGGAGTTTTTGGTCTTTTCTTTTGGGGGGGTATTTCTTGTGCTTTCTCTAGCTCTCTGCAGTTAGCAGATGTGCCCTGCAGCAAATTAAAGAAAGAAAGAAAGAAATCTTCCCCAAAGAGCAACAAGACAAAGGAATCATAGAAGAATTAAAGATAACAGAGTAGGGGCCATGGGACCAACAGATAGTTATGTCACTGGATTCCCATGTAGTTGACCGCAATTCAAGTCCTGGACCCAGCAGCTTAAAATTCACACCAGGCGTGTGTGCGTGGGTGCCCCAAATCCAGAGGGATTGCTGCATGACCACCCCCCCCGGGGGGGTGATTTCCTAGTATGTGGTTTATTGGTTAAGGTGGTAGAACTTCTACATGGCTGACTGCAGTTTGACTTCTGGACCTGGCAGCTTGAAATTCATGCTGGGCACATGTGTATGCATGCCCAAAATTTTAGGAGGAGAATGGAAGAGAAGGAATTTTGGCATGCCATCCCCCCGGAAGATGACCTCTCATTTTCTTTCTCTTTGTCTCTCTTTTTTTCTAGGGAACACACATGCCCTATGGCAAATAATAATAATAAATAATAAAATAAAGGATCACTTGTCCTAAGAGATCTAATATCCAAACACTGGAGGAAGAAATCATCCACAAACTATTCAAGAAAATCTTCTAGAACTGAAGCACATGATTACAGTGTGAATGAGCCCACCAAGTGCCAGTAGAGTGGACAGGAGTTCATCTATACTGATGCACATTCTTGTGACAGCTTGGAGCACTTGAAAAGAAAAAATACCACAAGCTTCCAGAGAGAGGAAAAGTCATATTTTTATGACTTTTATGGGCCTAAAATCAAAATGGCTTCAGAGCTTTAAACAGTGACACCAAAAGTCATTGCACGAGCTAGAATGTGAGCCTTTTTGTTTGTTTTGGACAAAGAACTGAACGAGACATGCAAATAGTGTAAGGAAAAGTTCGTTTATTAAGTAAAAGTACACTTCCAAGAGGTAGGAGCAGGCCTGAGTGGACAGAGAAGGAGTGGCTCAAAAGGCCAAATATGAGCCCTTTGACTTTATGGATCTTTGCCTCTGTTCCCTAATGAATCTCTAGTGCTTGGAGGCATTGTCAGGCAGGTACTAGGTTCTCAGTGAAAATACATTAAATGAAAGAGAGCAGTGGAGAAATGGCTTCAAAATTCTGAGGAAAAATTTTTTCCATCCTATAACTAAACCCATGCAATGCATTAAGTATAAGTGTCAAAGACATTTTTGAACATACAAGGTCTCAATTTACCCTCCATGTACCCTTTATCAAGAAGCTAACAGAGGGACCAGCAGGTGGCGTGGTGGTTAAGGTGCTGGACACTCCCACATGGCCAACCAGGGTTTGAGTCCTGAATCTGGTGGCTTGCTTTCTCACCTCCTTTCTCTCTCACTCTCACCCTCTGTCTCTCTCTGGTCAAATTAAGAAATAAATGAATGAATAAATAATAAATAAATAATTATTAAAAAAAAAAAAAAGAAGCTAAGAGAATGGGCTAACTGGTGGCATAATGGTTAAGACAGCTGAGTCCCACATGGCTGAGCACATGGTTCAGGTCCTGGACCCAGCAACTTGAAAAACATGCCAGTGTGTGCGTGTGTGCATGTCCAATATCCTGAGAGGAGAATGGAGGACAAGGAATTGTGGTGGTGCCATGCCCCCAGGAAATGCTTTCTCACTTTCTCTCTCCCTCTGTCTCTCTTCCTCCCTCTGGCGAGCACATGTACTTTACAGCAAAATAGATAAATAAATAAATAAGAAGCTAAGAGAAGTTATGCTCTACCAAAATAAGAGTGTAACACACATGCATACTGCAAAGAAAGATAAGAGTTATAGGAAACAGGAAATCTAATCTGGGAGAGAAGCAAAGGGATCCTCTAGGAAGATGGTGAAAAGAAGCTCCGGGATAATAGCTCTGCGCTGGATGTAAAGGGCAACCACAGGTTCAGGCATTCACCAAGGTGCCCCTTGTCATTGTAATACCATTTTGCCCAAGAACAGAGTGCCCTGGTTTGGAGCCCAGATTCTTACCAATATGTAACTTGTCCGGGCCATGTACTGATGAGATTCCTGCCCTCCCTTCTTCTTCCTGCCAGGTGAATTAACTGAGAAATTCATTTTACTCCATGGAAACATTCTGCTTGGACCTACTCTTGAGAACTGGAGGTAGGCCAAGATGAACTAACAAGCAAAAGATACAGCAAATTTCACTTATCTCGCCATTCCTGAGAGATATCCTTACCCTGATCCGTGCCACAATCCAGCCAAATGCTGCAACTGATGTGACCCATGTTTCCCAGTATGATTTTTTTACTTTGCAGTGTGGGGATTCCCCCAGGCTACCCCCAGCTTCAGGGATTTGCTAGGACTGTGAGGACCTGGCCAACAGTTGCAGTCAAGGCTATGACTTATGACAGTGAAAGGACACAGGGAATCAGCCCAGGGAAAAGGCAGCGGGGCACATTCTGGAGGAAGCTAGCATGAACCAGGAGTGCTATCCTAGCAGAGACACACACGATCACTCCATTCCTCTAGGGTCAGATTGTAACAACACGTGAAGTGCAGTCAATCAGGGAAGCTCGTTAGAAACTCAGCACTTGGGTTTTTTACTGGGGGCTGGTCACATAGCACTCTCTGCCTAGCACATGCCAAAATTCCAGAAAGGGAAAGCAGAGTTTAGCATGAACCATATTACTTGCAAAAGCATTTTTGTAAAGAATTACTTTATTTGGGGCTGGCAGCTAGTGTGGTGGTTAAGGATGCTGGACTCCTACATGGCTGACTGCAGTTCAACTCCTGGACTGGGTAGCTTACTTTCTCACTTTCCCAATCTCTCTCTCACTCTGTCCCTCTCTGGTCAAATTAAATAAATAAATAAATAAAGTTAAATCAAGTAATTCTTTTAAAAAGAGAGAGAGAAAGAGAGAGAAAATGAAAAAGCATGCTGCCAGGTCTGGGACTTGAACTGTTGCTTGCTACATGGGAGTCCAGCGCCCTCAACCACCACACCACCTGCTGGCCCCGCAAAAGCATTTTAGGGACAGTGAGCCTCTCAGCATTGAGAGAATGGCAAGAACTCTCCTGAAATCCACTTCTCAGATACCAGCCGAGGGCCAGCCTTGCAAGAAGACCCTTCTGGGGAGAGCAAGCCCAGACTCCTATGCTACCTCTTATCTATTCAATTGCCCACTGAGCTTACCCAGGAGGGGATCCTATAAACAATTAGGGAAACTATGACTTGAAACCCTGATTCAGTTTATAATTTCCTGGAAGTCTTCACTATGGTACTGGAAATGCTGCATTTTTCTTACATGTGCTTGCCAATTACTTTTTGTCTGTCTGTTTTGGTTACCAAAATGTATTGTTGAGAGATGTACCAAGGTATTAAAACCAGAGGAAAGCAAGGGGATGTATGGTGTTTTTTTTTTGTCTACCAAAACCCCTTCTGCCATGATAACACAGTTATAATCAGGTGCATGACATGCAGATGGACCGCATTTCTCACTCTCCCCTGAAGCTATGTATGGCTATGTGAGTAAGGTCTTGCTTATAGAGCCTGAGTAGAAGAGATGTGCTGCTTCTAGGTCTGGTTCATTTATCTATCTATTTATTTTTATTACCATAAGGCATGTGTATTCATGAGAGAGAGAGAGAGAGAGTGAGTGAGAGGGAAAGAAAGAAAGAAAGAGAAAGAAAGAAAGAAAGAAAACACCTTTAGTAGGGCATGGTCATGCTGCAATCCTTTTTCCTCCATTTCATATCCTGCCAGGATTTTGGGCTTCCTTAACCACTGTGCTACAGGGCCAGTCCCATTCTGGTTCTTTTTTTTTTCCCTTGAGATTTTTTTCTACAGGGCATGTGTGTGCTCACTGGAGACAGAGGGACAGAAGGTGAGAAATTACCCCCAGGGGATGGCTACGCTTCAGTCCCTTCTCCTCCGTTCTCCTCTTGGGATTTTGGGCTTGCACGCACAGGCACCGTGTGTGAGTTTTAAACCGCCTGGTCTGGGACTCAAATTACAGTTGAATATGTGGGAGTCCAGCGACATAGCCATTATACCATCTGCTGGTCCACCAGTCTGGTTCTTAAAACATTGTGGTGTGCTCACCTCGGCAGCACATGTACTAAAATTGGAATGATACAGAGAAGATTAGCATGGCCCCTGCTCAAGGATGACACGCAAACTTGTGAAGCGTTCCATATTTTAAAAAAAACAACATTGTGGTGCCTCTCCCCTAATTTCTTTCCCATTCCTCTGACAGCACCCAGAAGTGCCAAAAGATACAACTTTAACCACAAAGAAGACAAAATGCCATAGTGACAGAAGAAAATGAAGACTTAAAGAATCCAGTTCCCGGGACCAGCAGTTAGCATAATGGCTATGTCGCTGGACTCCCACATAGTCGACCGCGGTTCAAGTCCCGGACCTGGTGGCTTAAACTCCCGCCGGGTGCTTGTGCGTGTGTGCCCAAAATCCCGAGAGGAGAATGGAGTAGAAGGGATTGTGGCGTGACCATCCCCCCTGGGGGTGATTTCTCGCTTTCTGTCTCTCTGTCTCTCTCTGTCTGGCGAGTGCACGCACCCTATAGCAACTCCAAAAAAAAAAAAAAATCCACTTTCCTGTATAACCACATAGAGCAAGAACTCTCCCACCAACCTGCACTGTTCACATGGGATTGGCATATGAGGGAAAAATGAACTTCATTTTTTTTTTTTAAGAATTTTTTAGGCACCGGCAGGTGGTGTGCTGGTTAAGGTGCTGGATTACCACATGGCCAATTACAGTTCACAGTTCGAGTCCTAGACCTGGTGGCTTGCTTTCTGACTTTTCCCTTTCTCTGTCTCTCTCTGACCAGATTTTTAAAATAACAACAAAAATTTAAAAAGAAATAAACTTTTAATTAAAATTATTTTTTAAAAAATATTTATTTTACTTAATTTGCTATAGGGCTCACCAGAGAGAGACACACAGAGAGAGAGAGAGAGAGAAAGTGAGAAAATAAACCTCTGGGTCTAGGACTCAAACTGTGGTCAGCCATGTGAGAGTACAGTACCTTAACCCACACCATCTGCTAACCCCTTAGACATATTTTGTTTGTTTTTGGAGAGACTTTTATTATAAGGCATGTGCATTCACCAGAAAGACAGAGAGACAGAAAGCGAGAAATCATCCCCCAGGGAAGATGGCCACACCACAATCCCTTCTCCATTTAAAGGGGATTTTAGTCATGCACACACACGCACCTGGTATGAGTTTTAAACCACTGAGTCCAGGACTCAAACCGTGGTTGAATACATGGGAGCCCAGCAATGTAACCGTTATGACATCTGCTGGTCCCAAACTTCTTTTTTTTTTTTTTTTGAAGAGGTTTTTGCTGTAGGGCGCATGCGCTCGCCAGAAAGACAGAGACAGAGAGATAGAAAGCGAGAAATCACTCCCTGGGGGGATGGCCACTCTGCAATCCCTTCTCCTCCATCCTCCATTCTCCTCTTGGGATCTTGGGCATGCACGCACACATGCCTGGCATGAGTTTAAGCCACTGGGTCCGGGACTTGAACAGTGGTTGGCTATATGGGAGTTCAGCAACATAGCCATTATGCTAACCGCTGGTCCCACAAACTTCATTTTTTAATGTAGTATAGAATATCTTTGTTACAACACTTTATCTCCCTCCCAAACTAATACAAAAGTATAATACAGGAGACAGAAAGAATGGTGGCTACCTCAAGGATTTGGTAATGTCTGTTTCTTAGCATGAATGACAGGTACACTGGTACTTTTAAAATTATTTTATTCTCATATATTTTATATACTCTCTTTTCTATGTGTATATATATATGTATGTATCATTTCACTATTTTTTTTTGGAGAGGTTATTTTGCTATAGGGCGCATGCGCTTACCAGACAGAGAGAGACAGAGACAGAAAGTGAGAAATCACCCCCCAGGGGGGATGGCCACACCACAATCCCTTCTCCTCCATTCTCCTCTCGGGATCTTGGGCACGCATGCACACGCGCCCGGCGTGAGTTTTAAGCCACCGGGTCTGGGATGCGAACCACGGTCGACTACGTGGGAGTCCAGCAACATAGCCATTATGCTAACTGCTGGTTCCTCATTTCACTATTTTTTAACTATTTTTAAATTTTTACCGTAAAGCATGTACACTCACTAGAGAGAGAGCGAGAGGGAAAGTATGAAATCGCCTCCCCCCCCCGCCCCCAGGGGGGATGGCTGTATCACAATCCCTTCTCTTCCATTCAAACATGTGTTTGGCATGTTTTCACCCTGTTAAGTCTGGTACTTGGATCGCATAGTCAGCCATGTAGGATCTAACCATCTTAATCCCCATGCCACCTAGCTGGCCCCCAGTTGTGGTTTGCTTTCTGGCCGGTGGATTGGAAAACACTCTGGGTACATGTGCATGTGTGTACAGGACCCTGACAGGATGGGGAAGTGAAGGAGAGATTGTGGTGGAGCCACATCCCACTGGGGGCTCGCTCTCTCTGGTAAGCACACATACCCCTAACAATACGAAAAGAAACTCATGGAAAAAGTGAAATTAAAGTACAAGTTTAGGAGCCAGCGGGTGGCATAGTTGTTGAGGCACTTAGACTCCCACATAATTGACCATGGTTCAAGTCCTGGACCCAAAGACTGAGCACGTGTACATGCATGCCCCAAATCCCAGGAGAATAGAGGAGAAGGGACTGCAGTGTGGCTATCCCCCCCCCAGGAGGGTGTGGTTTCTCACCTTCTCTGTGTCTCTCATCTTAAAAAAAAAAAAAAAAAAAGTCTATTGGTGCCAGCAGGTGGTATGGTGGCCAACGTGCTGGACTCACATATGAAAATCACACCAGGTGCATGTGTGCCTAAAATCCCAATAGGGGAATGGAGGAGGGATTTTGGTACAGTCATCCCTCTAGGGGGTGATTTTTCGCTTTCCTGCTCTGTCTCTGTCTCCCTCTGGTGAGTGTATGCACCTTATGGCAAAAACTCTAAGGGGAAAAAAAGTTTATTTTTGTACAAAGGGGATTTTTTTAAGTGTATATATATCAGTTATTTGTGAGGATAAGCTTCATTCGTAAGGGCAAACATGGATCACCATAGCCCTGGAACTGAAGAACAGCTTTGAGTTTTGGTAAAATTTGCAAGGTTCACAGCTTTGTGGTCAACCTTGCACTGCTCTGTAATCTCATATTTCTCCTCTGTTGAAAATCTCACCTTCCTGGTGTCTGGGTTTTTGCAGCTTCTTTTCCTGAAGCATCAGTGAGGTGTTTTGCGATTTTTACTTGTTAATATTGATTGTCATGGAAGCGGCAATGATAAATTTCTGGTGTGTTTACACAGTGGAACTTGACTGAGGATCAGAGGTCCAGTCACAAGCAGCAAGCCACTGCTCAGCTGATGCAGGAAAACCGCTCTCTTGCCCCTGTGGCATCCGGTGAGGAGGACGAGAATGGTCTCAGCAGTGATGCTGGCTCGCAGCTTCCTTACATGCTGTATGCTGTGGCTCAACAGCTTTCGAGGCACATGTTCAGTAGGATAATACCTAGGCATTATGCGAAGTTTAACCACCTGGGAACCACCATTCTTATCCCCACCAACTGGTTTTGTGACAGTCGTAAGAACCTTTTTCTTTTTGATCCTGGATTTAGTGGCTGAATATTTCCTCTTGTACATGGCTGTCCTGGAATACATGGCAGACTGGGAGTATCTGCTGATGCCACGGA